AAGGCGATTATTGGCCACTATTGGCCAATAAGCTTTATTTTCTTATCTTTGTATGATGGATTTTTTTATAAATGACAAATTATGATGTTTATCTACAAAATAATCCCTAAATTGTAAGAAGGCATGACATAAGAGACCTTCAGTACTTTACTGCACAATGACATTTGGTATTAGACATACTGAAACAAACAAGTATGATTTTGACAGTGTTTCAAGACTCTTGTTAGTCACGATATGGCTGAAATACTGCCGATGTGACTTAAAATCTTCACTCACTCACTCACTCAAGACGTTGTTAGTCACGATATGGCTGAAATACTGCCGATGTGACTTAAAATCTTCACTCACTCACTCACTCAAGAAGTCAGTCACAATATGCCTGGAATACTGCCGATGTGCCTTAAAATCTTCACTCACTCACTCAAGACGTTGTTAGTCACGATATGGCTGAAATACTGCCGATGTGCCTTAAAATCTTCACTCACTCACTCAAGACGTTGTTAGTCATGATATGGCTGAAATACTGCCGATGTGACTTAAAACTCACTAGTCACTCAAGACTGTTGTCGTTGTAAATATCATCAGTTTGTCCTTACATTTGACCAAGCATTCATCAACGATATCTTAAACAGTTTTGGATATTACAGTTGAAGTATCATGTTCCTAGGGCTGCAGGCTGTGTAATAATACCTCACAGATACACCTCTCAGATGTGGAGTATTTCTCATATTCCCACTTGGCAAAAACCTCTCAACATGAAGTAGAACTTTTCTTTCAGTGAGATCTGTTGAACAAGGTAACCAAAATACAAATGTTCTTCCGATGTAGAAGTTACTTGATGTTTGTGTATGCGAGGAGGTGTAGTATGTTGTTGTTGGCGCTGTCTCAAACAGACAAGACACTTAATGCTTTATCTGTACAGCCAGTCAATAGTATTTCCATTCATACATGTTACTCTCTCAGGGTTTATGGAGCCGTAATGTACACGAATACATTTCCCTGTGTAACTGAGGGAATTAATGTTTCTATCAACAACTTAGAGGGGATGTATTTTGGGGGGATGCTTACAGAAAACGTAGACATGAAATAAATGTCCAAGTACTCTCTAAACAATCATGAATTTCTCAGACTTTCATACGTGTGAAAGGACGTGTTTGGGCGTAATGCTGTTGACATGAGTAGGAAGTCAGTTTTATGTCCTGACAGACTAGTTTAATGTGTGGTGGAATGGAGTTCCAGATACTGGGCAAACACTGTTAATTCAGGTAGTTTCATAAATGCAAACAGTTACCGTACCAACATCAGGTTAACATTTTACATATGTTGGGCAGAGTTGGAGTTTGGATAGAGAGTTGATATTACCCAAGCTACACCTGCAAGGCCAGATGTCTTTTAAATTCAAAGAATAGGTCTATTTTGTTTCAGAAATAACACCTTGCAAACTAGTGGTGGAAAGTTTCACCCCCTCAACACACACACATACACACTTCCTACCCACTAACAATCCCCCCTTCTCATTCCCCTCCCCCCACCTGAATTTCAAAATGGCATTTTGCGTATACGTTTTAGTTAAGATAAAAAGAATCAGTTGCCAGAAATTGCTGAGTTACACATAAATTATTTGATTCTTCTGGGGTTGTCATGAATCAATGATTTAAAGTCTATTAAACTGTCAGACCTTTTTCTATTACTGTCAAGTTTTATCACACAAATTGACCATTTTTCACCATCTTGACAAAAATGTTAAAATGTACTGGAGATAAGATTGTTATCCGACTTTTCCTGTTTGAGACCTTTAGATGACTTTCTTACCCAGGTGTAATAGTGTACTTGCTGGTGTAGGGAGCTGGTGGTGACAATCTTATCTATGGCCATGAGGGTTAAAATAGTTACTCTATGTGTAGACACATTGAACTGTATATTAACTGCCCATCAGATGTTGTGATATGTTTCATCCCAAAGACGGGCCAAAATACAGATGTATGTTTCATAACCAACAGTCTCTTTTCATTCATCCAGTCATCAAGTTTATTTTTTGTATGATTGTCAGAAGATGCTTTCTCAATGGTTGTTGGATAGGCATTTCTTAGAAGTTGGCAAATTTCTTGATGATGAAGGATGAAATCCAATTCCTATCACAGTTTTGTTTCCCATGAGCTACAACACATTAACTTAATTTTGAAAGGGAAAGAAACATGAATTAATGGTACCATCAGGTGTTTTACTTCATAGCTGAAAACGGGATTAATACAGGCTTCAAGAGCTGATAAGGGATGGTTAAAGGAATTTGATGATTGTTATGTAATATAATGTTTGCTGGAGGGTATGTAAGATAGATTCTGGTGCAGATTTACTGAAAAACGCGCTATGCAGAGTTCTGTCCCCTAGCTGTTGCAGGATACATTTTTCTGAGGTTTAATTCCTGATTTGTCTTGCCTTTGATCCTTCTTTTGACAGCATCTATATCCATGCTGTGGGTTTTACTAAGATGGCTATTATCTCTGGTCATGAATCGATTATTTACAGGTGAGGTGAGGTGAGGTGAAATTGGGTTAACGTCGTGCTTGAGAATATTTTGCTCATATGACGACATGCATGCGTGTGTATGTGTATGTGCGGCTGCTTGTACTAGCCCAGACTTAGGCTGGTTTTATAGTGCTAGCCCACTGAGATACCATGCCGCAGTGAAGCATGAATACCCCACTCAGACACATTATACTGACTCCGAGCTGACCAGTCCTTGTTGTACCCATTAATGCCGAGAGCCAGGCAGAGACCAACAAGTACCATATTTTACCGTCTTTTGGTATGACGCGGTCGGGGATCGAACCCGCGACCTTCCGCTCTCCGGGCGGACGCTCTAACCACTACACCATGGAGGCGGTTCGATTATTTACAGACCAACGCCATATAGCTGAAATAGTGTGGTGTAAAACTAACACTAACTGACCAACATCACTTTGCACTTCCTCACTCATTTATCTGACATGATGGGCAAAAACATTGGATAACATGGAGTACCTCTGAATGAGCAATTTAAAATAGAAATATATACGAAGTTATGTATGCTCAAATTATCTATTTACAGTTGCAACAAAATATAATGCTTTAGTGATTTATTATAATTACTTCACAAGGAGGTGGATGTAAAATTTATTATATTCATATTCATTTAAAATTCATATGACATTCTAACTGTTTCAGTTTCATCATTTGCTGATCTTTCACAGATGAATGTAAAGAGGTTTACATGTAATGATTCCCCACCCCTATCCCCATACTTTTAGAAACAATGAAACTGACATCAGTTCTTAACAGTGTTTAGGCCAGACCTATTTTATTTTTGTTTTACGGATCTGCCAGTCGTATTTTTCAAGAATAAGACAAAAAATTAAAATTAATTTTCCCGCTCAAAAAATAAAAATAAAATCCAAATGTTTTGGGGGTTTTATTGGTCAAAAATGTAAATTTACAAGAAAAGTTTTTATTTAGCTTGTGTTTTGCCCAAAATACACTTTATAAATTGACAAAAGTACAATACTTTTAGCATATATTTATTTTCATTTTTTTCCCTCCTGGTTTTATTTTTATTTTTGAGTACAAAAATCCGTGAAACAAGAAATAAAATTGATTTGGCCTTAATAATAATCAGATATAAACAGAAAAACTACTCATTGATCCAGTGTTTTTTCAATTGGGGGAGGAAGTGGATCTGAAGATTCAGTTGCTGGATGCTGTCACCAGTAATGTCTAGGCAGTGTTGTGTGTTGTCTTGTTCTCTCTAAGGTGGTGGGTAGGTAGCCTAGTGGTTAAAGGTTCGCTCGTCACGCCGAAGACCCGGGTTCGATTCCCCACATGGGTACAATGTGTGAAGCCCATTTCTGGTGTCCCCCACCGTGATATTGCTAGTATATTGCTAAAAGTGACATAAACCCAACTCCCTCACTTGTCCACTTTAATGTTCAGATGCCCTGAATTCCCTCATGTCCCTTCATACTCTGTAGTCATATACTTTGATACATTGATTTCAATGTTAAAATGTCAAAATATCGTCTACAATATTTCTGTTTTTCTGAGAGGGAACCTGTGGAAAGAGGGAGCTAAGTCTGTCAGTATTTATATAACTTGATGAATACAACCTTACACATACTATGAATGTCAAACTGGATTGTTCCCACGCATGTCAGATTTACATCATCACAATAAGGTCAGCTGTGTGCTCTTGGGCCATAAGGCCACCCTTTTGGTTTTACTTTCTTTACTGACTTTTTACAGGAAAGTGTCTGTTTGTAAATAATATAAAAACATTGTTTTTCATCATTGGTTTTAGTTGTTTTCATTCACTTGGATTAGGCTGGTTTGAAACTATGAAACTTCTTTAGGTTTCTTCATGAAACTCATGTTTTGAACATTGATGTGGCATTATTGATAGTGGGTCCATGTTCAGAACAAATATTTTGGGTGCAATATGTGTTAATTTATCAGCTGGATTAAAAGAAAGGCAAATTCACAAATATATTATTTTCCATTTCAACAAAATTATAGTTCTGAGATCAGCAAACTTGGTTGCCTTTTGTTGACCTCAATTGTATAGCCAGAAAACATCAATTATGAAACATGTTACGCAGATCGATGTCCATGCAGTTGATCACTGGATTGTCTGGCCCAGACTCGATTATTTAGAGACAGCTGCCAGATTGCTTGAATGTTTCTGAGTGTGGCATCAAACAACAAACCAATCATTAAACATGTTACAAAGTGTAAACAGGGAGGATTTTTAATTTCATGAAGCAAACTCCTCAAGGCATCTGCATTCATATTTGTTATTTTGTCTGATAACAATATTAAAATTTAAAAGTAATTTATTTTGGCCATGGTTTTATTAATGGATTTGGTGGTAAGAAACTTTTATCAAACTCTTCAACACTGTGCATTCATATTTTTTAATGTTAATTCTGAATGATCATAGTGTTTACACCCCATTTCCTTTTAATTTTCAGATCCACATATAAAAGTTGTTGGATACCCAGAGGATGTGGCTAATGCCAAAGACAAAATTATGGCAGTGTTGGACACAAAGGTAAGCTTGATGGATTACACTGATTTAAGGTAAAAATACGATAATCCTTGGATTTTCATCATTGCATGCCTAACTAGCAAGCACCTTGCCTTGTTGTTCCCAAGTACCTACAGTCAAGGCACATTATTACAAGTGTTCCACCACCTTCTCCACTTGATGGAATGGACCATGTACACAGTGTTGTCAAACATGCAGCTTACTGACCCGTCAAGATCCGAGTTAGAATCAATCTTCAGTAACCCATGCTTGTCATAAGAGGCGACCAACGGGATCAGGTGGTCAGGCTCGTTGACTTGGTTGACACATGTCATCGTGTCCCAATTGCATAGTTTAATGCTCATGATGTTGATCACTGGATTGTCTGGTCCAGACTTGATCATTTACAGACCGCCGCCTTATAGCTGGACTGTTGCTGAGTGCGGCATATTTTAGACTCACTCACTCACTCCAGCTTACTTTAATCACATCCTTCAATGGTTGACGCTAAGAGACATCTTTATCACTTGCTATCAGCAAATAATATGTAACAAATATTTAGCTGCAGCTCTCATTTTATTTAAATATTTGGGTGAAAATCTTATAATTAATTTATCGTGACATATTTTTCAAGTGCATCCATATTAGTGAATTATGAATCATTAACTAATTGTTATCAATCATTAATTAGATTTTTATCCCTGTCTGCCTGACGACCAGACAGCTGCCTCACATTTGTTTATTGTCAACAATCATCTACAGCAAAGAATGTCTCCTGTATAGATTCCTTTCTTCCCTTACTTGATATGTATATATGTCATTAAAGTGTTTTCTGATATGAAGTGGGGGCAGTGGGGTAGCCTAGTGGTTAAAGTGTTCGCTTGTCACGCCAAAGGCCCGGGTTCGATTCCCCACCTGGTACAATGTGTGAAGCCCATTTCAAAGGTGTCCCCACCCCAATTTCTGGTGTACCCCGCGTGATATTGCTGGAATATTGCTAAAAGCGGCGTAAAACCATATTCAGTCAGACAGTCAGTGATATGAAGTATATCAACATGAATCGATAACAGTTTACCTTTTATCACTAGTTTGGACATTTCTTATGTTAAAAGACACTGAGGATGAAATTCTATTTATGATCCAATCTTAGTCCTCCATCTTTACAATTTGTTAATAGGAAATAACAGTGTTTTGAATGTAAGAAGTTCATGTGACCAACTTTAGACAAATTAGTGATGTCATTTGATTGTGATGCCATGGTAACATTTGATATCACAATGTCCTGCAAAGCATGGCAATGCAGTGTCATCGTAGTAATAACTCTTGTGAGCATATATAGTAGATGGTTCAAAATGCTGAATTGTTCTGTCAAACATTCGTGCTTCTTGTGAATCACATTCAACAAATGTTAATGTTAAGATAATTTTCTACAGTCCAAGCTGGTTGTTTATTTGTTCTTCATTCAGCAATATTCCAGTTACATTACCGCAGTCTGTAAATAATCGAGTCTGGATTAGACAATTCAGTAATTGACATCCTACTCAACGATCTACACAACTGAGACACAATGACATGTCCTCTAAGTCAGTGAACCTGATCAGTTGTAGTTGCCTCTACCTGTACAGTCCAAGAATACGTTAGACTTATATGTGTCTACCAATCATCTTTCATTAGGCCAGACCAATTTTATTTCTTGTTTTACGGTTTTTTGTACTAAAAAAAACTAAAGGCAGGAGGGGAAAACAATAAAAATAAAAATAAATAAGTTCTAAAAGTATTTTATTTTTGGCAATTTATAAAGTGTTCATGGGGCAAAACACAATCTAAAAAACTTTTCTTGTAAATTTACATTTTTGACCAATAAACCCCCCAAAACATTAGGATTTTATTTTTAGAGCGGGGAAAATTAACTTTTATTTTTTTTCTTATTCTTGGAAAAATACGACAGACGGATCTGTAAAACAAGAAATAATATTGGTCTGGCCTTATAAGATATTATATCATATGAATATTTATCTTTGATGTCTAATTGATAACATGCAATAATTCACAACTACATTTTACTTTGAAGTTGAATGCACCTTCTAGAAATTCACCCCAAAAATGGTTGTTTGAACAGGTATGAATATATTACCTTATATCAAACCCATTTATCAGAGTACAGATTAACCCGCTCTGACACAAATCTCATTATGCTGTCGAAGATAGATCACAGTCAATGGTTATAAGAAGAGTCAGGAAGGATTACGATCTAAAAACATCTGTATACTGAAATTACGTTTTGTTGAGAGGATTACAAGTGCAAGATGATAGGATTGCTGGATTTCTTGTCTATTTCATACCAGATTAATATTGATAGCATGTCTATCAGATGAACACCAATCCCAGTTTGGGGTTATAGTATCTCAGAATGAACTTTATCTACGTTACACCTCCACAGAAATTGATTGTAGGTGGTTATTTTTTATTTGTTGTCAGTGATTGAATAACTGAATTGAGGCAAACACATTACCGAGATGACAGAGAATCTACACCACTTAGTGGATGTCAGGTTAACTGTAATTTGATAAACTCGTTGGAACTGGTCCTCAGCAACCCATGCTTGGCGTAAGAGGCGACCATGGGGATCGGGTTGTTGGGCTCGCGGACTTGGTTGACACATGTCATCATATCCCAATTGCATAGATCAGTGCTCATGACGTTGATCACTGGGTTGTCTGGTCCAGACTCAGTTATTTACAGACTGTCGCCAAATAGCTGGAATATTGCTGAGTGCGGTGTTAAACAACAAACAAACAAACACACCTGCCTTATGTGATCATGTGTTTTAATGGGATGGAGTTATGAAATCACATGACCTCATTCTTTAACTAAATCTGACACTATCAGCAGGCGATTAGTATCTAATAAGAAAATCAAACAATATTCATGATAAATGAGTACAGGAAATGTACTCCTCTTTTGTTTTCTGTTATTAGGTATTAAATTAATTGGATTCAATATGAAAATGGTCTGTTGGATTAGCAGGATAGATTCAGTCAACAACATCCTTGGGTGGTCAGGCTGGGAGGCCCGTTTGCCATCATCGTACTACAACAACAGCATCAATTGTTGCTTGAAATAGCAATCACTGTATTGTCTGGTCTAGATATGATCTTTTTCAGTCCAGTGTCATAAAGCTGAAATATTTCTGAGTACGGTGTTAAACTGCAAACACACAAGATATGTAAAACATAAATGGTTGCTTTTTCGAGGTCTGAACAATGAAAACAGAAGTGTGTATATCATATTCTGCAAGTCATAGCCAGCTGTGTCTATAGACTGGATCTAGATAAAGCACACTTGTAAGTGACAACAGAAAATGCATCACTTGAAATGTCCAATCGCTGTCATTTAGGGTCTTGTTTTCTTGAAAGCTAAGAAATCTGATCAGAAATACTCTCCAATAGTCTACTGATGAAATAGCATATGTATATGCCAGTCTTGTTTTGATTGTCTGCCAATGTGTAGCATTACCTATCTAAACATTTACATTGCCCTCTATAAGACCTGCAGCATTGTTTCCTAGCCCTTGCTCACACAACCAAATACCTAGTGTTTGTCTTGTACTAAGAATCTGGGGGTCAGTTTCATCTTGCTGAGACCTATTCTTTAATATGCATGTATTTTACATTTTATCTGGTGTCATTGACTTGTGGGGTTAGTATGATATTGGATATTGTATATCTTGTAATTCAGCCCTGGAGTGAGAGTGAAAATCAACATTCAGAGTCTGAGAGGGTCACAAGTCTTGATTCTTAGCAGTTGCCTTGGTAGAGTTGTCATGTGGGCTTCATTTCTGGAGGTTGTTATACAGGCTGTGAGTTTGGGTAACAAAATGTTTGTCTTTTACGGGTTGGTTATTGAAGAAACGAGAGAAAAATAATAATGTTATTTCAAAATAGGCCTTATATAATATTTGATTTGGTTTGAGAGACAAACCAAAATATACTGAAATTAGACCAAAAAAATGCAAATAACTGTTGACACAATATTTTTTGTCTAACTCTGTTTTACAATTAGACGAAAGAATAGAAGCAGATTTTCATATCATTGTTCATAAGGAATGGTTAATTATGTCTATAGAAATTATTATTCTAACAAAAAACAACAATCAGTTATCTTTCAGAATGTTTCCTTGTTAAAACTGTTAGCAGTAATAATACGGAAGTCGAAACTTTTCCGTTTCTTTTTTTGTTGTCAAACACCTACCAGTACATTGGATTTTGGGTCAGTATATTTGTTACCCAACTAATATAAGGCCTTTTACATATGAAATGCTTAGCATCATTTGGCTTTGTGTCCCCAGGTGTCTTAAGTCACACTGCTCCCTGCAAGTGTGGAGCCATGTTATTTCAGACGGTGCACATAACATTTTGTTTTAACTGATTTTGTGTAGCTCTGTGGTCACAGGTACAGTGGTCACAGTGGTCTCATATCTATTGGAATCTTCTGGGATTTTTTAGTTCAAATTGAATTGTTTCTCAAAATAGAACATAACTGAACATAAGTAGCTTAGACCCTCCTCAAAAAACTGTAGAAGAAGATGTGCCCTCCTTGATTTCCTAGCTCCCATCTCCCTAAAGATTGCTATCATGGTCAAGCACCATGAGGGGTGGCCAGTAGGTTAAAGCATTGGCTTGGCTTGCCAGAGGCCAGGATTGAATTCCCATGGGAACAATGAATGAAGCTCATTTCTTGAGAACCCTGCCATGATTTTAGGGAAATAGTGCCAAAAGCAGCTAAAAAGAAAAAACAAAACTCACTCACTCACTCACTCACTCACTCACTCACTCACTCATATGTTAAATCAGGAGTTTTGCAGTTCATAAGTGTTATTCTCACATCATCAGTTTTCAGGATTTTGAAATCTTAATATCATATAAATCCTTATCTAACATCTTATGACAGAATACAAAAACACATCAAAACTCTATTAGACCTCTTTGGCAACCTGAAACATATATTGTTACGTGCACTGAAAT